GGGGGGGACCCCCCCTGCCCCGAGTGCACAAATTTTTGTGCACCGGGCCTCTAGTAATTAAATAAAATACATGTTTGGATGCATTGAACAAGGTAAGAATTTTGCCAGCACAATCCCTTCTTCAAGGTGGCACAGTGTGTGGCTGAACCTGGCCTGCAATGACCTCTGCTATGGGGAAAAGGGAGAGCTTTGCAGAACGCTGTGGAAGAACCCATTTCTTCACTGCAGTGCTCACAGTATTGAGTTAAGACCTTCACAACTTGGAGGAGGGAGAATATTGGGAACGCGCGTGCCCTCCAGGCGCTCCAGCGGCATTACCACCCCGAGGTGTCCAAGGCCGCCAGCGTCATCAACCAGGCGCTGTCTGTGCCCGAGGCCAGCATCGCGCCCCTCCTGGAGCTCACCGCCTTCGAGGTGCGGGCCGGCTGTGGGGAGGGGGGGCTGGCTCGGAACTCCCGAGTGAGAGCGTCCGTCTGCCTGTCCTCGCAGATCTTCGAGCGGGACCTGGAGAAGAAGGGGCCCGAGGCGGTGCCGCTGGAGTTCATCCCCGCGCAGGGCCTGCTGGGCCGGCGTGACGACCTCTGCGCCCAGCACTTCACACTCAGCTGACCCTGGGCCCCCCTCCCCCCAATAAGTGGTTTTGTAGGAGCGACTCAGGTGGGCTGGGGGCGGGCAGGGGCCTGGCTCCCCCTGGGGCTGTGCCCACAGGGCTGCAGTCCACAGAGCCCCGCCCAGCAGGGGACAGCAAGGGGGTCTTTCCTTCCCGTGTGCCAGGGGTGCGTCCCCAGAGCTGACGGGGGCCCTGACTCAGGCTCCTCCCAGGTGGCCCCACCACAGAGCAGTCCCGGCGCCTGGCCCTCCCTGTCCCCCGTCCCTCCAGGGCAGCAACAGTGTCTTCCGCTGCTGCCAGTCTGGGCGGCCCCCTCCATGTGGCTCAGCAACTTCCTGTCCTGAGGAGCCAGCCCGTGTCAGACACCCTTTCCGGGCTTGACCCCAACATCAACATCTCCCTCCTCACCGGCCAGCCCAGGGGCGGGGCCCTGACCCGCAGACCCACTTCCATCACGTCCAGGCAGAGCTCAGTGATTGAGGTCGACCTAGGAACCAGGAGGTCACGGACCGATTCCCAATCAGGGCACAGGCCCGGGTTAGGGGCTCGCTCCCCAGTGGGGGGCGTGCAGGAGGCAGCTGATCCATGGTTCTCTCTCATCACTGCTGCTGCTTTCCTCTCCTTTCTTCTCTGAAACCAATAAAAATATATTTTAAAGTAAAATGGAGTTTGCCTCCCGTGGCTGAGGCGCTGGCCTGGCATGTGCACCGAGCTTCGCCCTCCTTCCCAGGGTCCTGCTCTGCTCGGTTAGGGAGCCCCCAGGGGCCAGGGACGCGAGAACTTGCTGTGCGTTCCCTGCTCCCGTGACGTTGGGTCCAGAATTTTAGGAGAAGCATCACGGAAGCCGGTCTTCCCTGGTCACCTACTGTGGGGGGAGGGTCCCCTCCCTCCCTCCATCCGGCTCCTGCCGGGAGGTGAATGGGGCTCTGGGGAGTTGAGTCCCAGCTCCATGGGAATGACAGGATGCATCCTGGGTAAGGAGCTGCCACTCGACGCTCCAGGGCTTGATTGTCACTTAGCAAACCCACTGCAGACAAGTGTCAGGAGGCAGGTCCTGCCCCTCGGTCGTGAGGACAGCTTGTCCCCCTGCCGGGGGCTGGAGAGGGCCACAGCCCCTTCCAGCAGGCGGGGAGCTGTGTGCCCTCATGACACCTGTCGTGTCCACGGGCGCTGTTCCCAGGTCCCCGCTGCTCAGGAGGCTGGGACGGAGCGGGAACCTGGGGGCTCGTGAGAACAGTCAGGTCCGCAGGCTGCAGGGGGTGAGTCCTGACTCCCAGGTCCCTGTGTCAAGGCCCCGGCTGCAGGGGCCGCGGTCAGTCAGGGGAGGGGCCTCGGGGTGCAGGGGCCGCGGTCAGTCGGGGGAGGCCTCGGGGTGCAGGGCGCCTCCGTCCTGGGAGACGCTGCTGGGTGAGTCTCGGCCGACCTCCAGGACAGAGCTTCCTGAGCGCGTGGCCGTTCCTCAGGCCTGTGCTTGAGCGTAGCCGGGGGTCAGCTTTCCCGTCGGAATCGCTGGGGCCCGGGAGCGTGTGGCCTCTGATCCCAGGCTGAACGACGTTGCAGCTGGGCCGGGACACGGGCCTCACCGGGCTCCTGGGGTCACAGGTCAGAGAACCCCGCTCGGCAGTGGGAGGAGAGCAGCCTCCCCAGCTCTCGCCTAGGTTGGCTCTGTGTCCAAGGCCTGGAGTTGCTGCTACAGGCGGCTCCAGGAGGGTAGGGTACCCCGCCTTCCTGTCCAGAGGGTGGGGTTCAGCCAGAGCTCGGCCGCCATCCGAGAAGGCCAGGGTCAACCTGCCTCGGCCAGCGCAGGACGGTCATGCTGGGCCGGGAGGAGAAAGAGGGGCTGGAGCCCGGCTGGTGGGGCTCAGTGGTTGAGCGTTGACCATGAACCAGGAGGTCACGGTTTGATTCCCGGTCAGGGCACAGGCCTGGGTTGCGGGCTCCATCCCCAGTGGGGGGCGTGCAGGAGGCAGCCGGTCCATGCTTCTCCTTCATCATTGATCTTTCTATCTCTCTCTCCCTCTCCCTTCCTCTCTGAGCTCAATAGGAAAAAAAAAAAAAGAAGAAGAAGAAAAGCTAGAACTCACAGCCCACAGACTGTGACCTCGGGATGAATGGGCCCGGCCTGAGATGCATCACTTCCGCGGCGCCCACACGCCCTGAAATGACTGATGTTTGCGGGCGCGGCGGCAGCAGCGTCGTCGTCGCGGGAGACAGATGGCCTGTCCGTCTGCATTAGCACAGATAAGCCGTTTAATTTAATTTCGAAACGACTGTCGGGTGCTTAAAAGAGCAAGAGGAATAACAGACGAGGCTTCGCGCCTTGTTTATCCGGAGCAGTCACTGCGCGGCCCCCGAGGCCGTCAGTTTAATTAACTTTGGCGTCTGGGGAAGCGGCTCTTATCAACGCGAGGAAGCCGCTCGCCGCGGGCCCCACGCCTTTGCCTTCGTTCACCTGGTGCCGCGTCAGGGGGCGTCAGGGACTCTGAGTTTGGGGGCTCGCACCCCAGCAGCCAGGCCTCCAAGGGCAGCATTTGGCCACCGTCACCTCTTCCTGCTACCCCTGGGCTTTTTGGGGATTTGGGTTGGAGCCGGCAGAATTCTCTGCTGAGGATGATGAAAGTGGGACACCTTCCAGCAGCAGGACGCCAGGAACCGGAGGGCTGGGGGGCTCAGGGACCCCAGGGAGCCGGGGAGGAGGGGCTCTGAGGGAGGGGTGTCCCGTGGACAGCGTGCCGGGGGAGTGGCACCTGCCTCGGGTCCCAGGACAGAGGACGGTGAAAGTGCAGAATTATTATTATTATTGAATTCAGAGAGAGGGAGGGAGAGAGAAAGAGAAACATTAACGATAAGAGAAAATCATGGATCGGCTGCCTCCTGCACGCCCCTGACTGGGGATCCAGGCCACAACCCGGGCATGTGCCCTGACCGGGAATCGAACCTGGGACCCTTCAGTCTGCAGGCCGATGCTCTATCCACTGAGCCCCACCAGCCAGGCAGTGCAGGATTATTCTCTGTCCCCAGGTCACGGGAACCAGGGAGGCCCCGTGACCTCACAGCCCAGCGACACAGAGACCCACACACCGCCCGGTGCCCTGCTTTCTCCTCTGACCTTTGGGGAAACGCCCTCCTGGGACCTGGGGGCCTGGGCAGTAGCAGGAGGGGCTTCTCCTCCCCTGAAAGAGACTCGGCTGGGGTAGTGACCGCGGTGCTTCCCTGGGGGGCAGCCAGGCTCCCGTCCTCTCTGGAAGCCTGGGACCCGCCTGGACGCAGCGAGGGGACACCTGGTAGGCTGGGTACACTCCCAGCTGAAACCTGTGGCCCGGAAGCCTGCCGGCCTGCTTGTCAGGTGAGGCTGTGGGAATGGGGAGATGCCCGGCCGGCCTGGCTCAGGGCTTGAGCATCAACCTAGGAACCAGGAGGTCAGGGTTCCATTCCCGGGCAGGGCACAGGCCCGGGTTTCTGGCTCCATCCCCAGTGGGGGGCGTGCAGGAGGCAGCCCATCCATGATTCTCTCTCATCATCGATGTTCCTCTCTCCCTCTCCCTTCCTCTCTGACATTGATAAAAATATGTTTTAAAAAAGGAGAAACCGGGAAACCGCTGGTGCCCGTAGTTCTGCCCTGGGAGGCCCTCTAGCCGGGGGGAGCTGGGTGCGTGCTCTGTGGAAGCTTGGCATCTGTCTGCTGTGGGCTCCCGTCCTGGGGCCCTGGGTCCTTGGGCCCCTGAGGCTCCCACCGTCGGGCCGGAGGCGGGAGTAAGTGCTTGGCCCTGGATGTGATGGGAGAGGGGAGTTTCTCTCCTGTGCTGTTCCCCGCAGTCACGAGGTGCTCTCTTGTCCTAGAGGCCCCAGGACAGCATGTGTGCGTGTGTGTGTGTGTGTGTGTGTGTGCACGCGCGCAGGGGAACGGGGGGGGGGGGGCCCCGGCTTT